CAAAGTGACTTACGCACTAGAGATTTAGGATTTCCATAATCCGGTATGACTGACTATCTGCAGGTGACTTATTATACTTTTTATGTGGTGTGTTTATTTGCCAAATACGTCATTGTATATCGAGTTAATGACTGTAAGGAGGAGGGTAGTGGGTAAAAAACTGCGCCAATTATTTGTTATTCCTATTAATTTTGATTTATTTCCAGAATAATGTTGGAGACAATTGTTTTGGTTTTCCTCTATTAAATGTGTGTAGTTTTTTTTGGATATGCAATTTACTTTGTATTGTCCCTGTAAAAAATATTTCGAGTTTTTGTATGTCAAATAAAGGAAGCCATTCGTTTATTACTACGAATATTGCCTATGTATGGTATGATTCATGTTAACAGACCTTGAACTTGAATGGCCGCAGAGTTCTTGTTGAGAGTGGAGGATTAACAATGATTGGTGCGATGGCTTAGGAGTAATATGATGTCTCGTGGCTTTCTCACTTACATCGTGATCTTGGTGGCCCTTTTTATGTCTAAAAACTATTTTATCACAAAAGAATCGCACGGGAAGCGTATATCACGCGATTTAGAGTCACCCACATCATGCATATACAACTACACAATCACAATCTATAGGGAGAACAAAGGACACACTTATTGATATAAGTTAATTCGGATTCCGTGCACATTGATTAATTTAGACTTTACCATGACTAATTTCATAAGAATAGATGATGGTAACATACTTTTGGATTATTTAAAAACGCGATGTTCATACTGTGTAATTCAAAAGGAAGCAATATAATTTACAATCGGCTTTAGTGCCAATTCATCGTTGTCGATGAAGTGCCATGTTTGGTAAAGGGTGGCATTGTACCTCCAATCTAAGGTCACATTTTAAAGTCACTGGTAGTTTGTATTTATGCACAGAATTACGAATAGTTTATTCATTCATGAGTGTGAATTTGCATAAATGTAATATGTTTGTTGCATAATTATTAATTCAATTCATAAGCGCTGACTATGTAGGTAACCTGACACATCCATGACGTCTTATGACACTTCCGATACGGTGGTATAAATCGTGTCAAAATGTGTCAAATATGAATATGAAGTATCTTAATAGTAGCAACAAATGTAACTCAGTGATTCTCGCTATACCCACATTTACGTCATTAGTTAAAGAACTTATTGACTATAAAAACTGTACACGTGGCCTGTCAATCAATTGGAGCACATGGAACAAACAAACAAACGATAGGTTTTCAATCAGCTTTCATTAAAGCAGCTTATAAAATGAAGTGTATGTCACAAATATTGCAGTTCAACGCCATACTAAGATCAGCTCCATTCAATCACTGTTCTCACTTCCTGCAAGCATGCTGAGATTTGGTGTGATTCTCTCCGTCGCATTGCTGTTACTGCTCAACACTGTTGCAGCACGTAAGTAACTATATGGTATTCTATTTAGACAACTATAATCACGTCTCAAACCGCAGACGTGATTAACTAATCAACTGGTAGGAATTTAATAATGACTAATATTACGACAATTCCATAGGTAATGTCATTCCGTTGAGCGATCTCTCAAATGTAGCATAATTACATTATGAATATGACAAACTATTGTCAATGAATTTTAATAATAAACAATTTAAGCTTAAGTTCCAACAGCTAATTTTCAGGACGGAAATTGTTCTTCAGAATGTGTGAAACTTTCTTTTTGTGAGACATTTTTTTCTTGTCGTTTCTTTATAGTAAATACTGCTGCTACAAACGACAAGAAGAATGTTTATAAATGTACAATTCACCCATCCTTTCATTCATTTCAGCACTCAATCAATAGTTTGTGCTTTAAGTTATTCCATTATACGTTCCAGCATTAATCGATTTATGTACTGATTGATTCATTAGAACCAGCGGCTCCTACAGATTTACAAGTCACAGGTTACACATCTACATCAATATCTTTTACTTGGACGGGTTCCGCTGGGGCTAATGGCTATGAACTCAACTATTATGAATCAGGCTCTGGAAATCTGCTGCAAACTATATCTTTACCAGGGACAGGAACAACGTATACAATGACTGGTTTGACTCCTAACACATTATATGAACTAATATCGGTACAGGCAGTGGATGCTGCAGGGACTAGTGGTAAAAGTAATGAAATACAACTCGAAACAAGTAAGTACCTACAATTCCCAAAAACATAATGCAATATTAAGGTGTCCATTGATGTAGCGAAACGATATCTTCAAACATTAGTTGTCTGTATAACGTAATATGCAAAATCATGTTTGTATTATTGGACTTCATTGTGCTGTATGTCGCTATGTAATTCTGACACTTGAAATATTTGTAATACTATTAATTGTACATGCAAAAGAATAAACATATATATAACTTGAGTTCACGGCTGGCAGGCCACTCTGACTTCATTCTGAAGTCCGAAATGACGTGTAGCTATGTATTGTGTTTCACTAAGAATTTTGATGTTATTTGACAACTTGGCGTGTTATGTACAACTTGGGTTAAATGGTGTTATTTAGCAACCTGATGAATTATATAGGTTTAATGATGGTATTCGGTAACTTGGTTGCATAGGGGTTAAATGATATTATTCGGCAAATTGATCGAATATCTGACTTGAACGATGGTAATAAGCAGCTCGGTGAACTTTATGGGTTATTCGGAACTTGTTGAATGACTGTATTTTGAAACTTAATGATTTGTATTACAGATATATGTCTGCATTTAAATTCAAAGCCAAGCTTGTGCAACTTTCCATCTCAAAATTTAGTAACTTGCAATCGTGACAGGTTGTACAGTGGAGGTGTTGTTCTGTTTCTTCACATCTCTGAATTTACTCCCAAATTAACACAATATTGATAATAACACAAGCATAACTATACACCACATCCTCGCCGATATTATGGACAACTTCATCGAGTGTGGAGCCATAGAAACGAACATTTCAAATCATTATACGTATTCAAATCTAAATAATTACTTCATTAGTTTAAATTTAAATTCTCTATTCATCGACTTATTAATAAATAAATCGATTGGTGGACAGATTGATTCATTAATTTATTTACTAGAACCTGCGGCTCCTACTAATTTACAAGTCACGGATCACACGTCTACATCAATATCTTTCACATGGACGCCTTCGGATGGAGCAAATAGCTATGAACTCAACTATTACGAATCGGGAGCTGTGAGTCCGCATTCCGTGTCTGTATATGGGACATCTTATACTTTGACGGGTTTGAAACCCGGTGTATTATATGAAGACATATCTCTACAAGCAGTAAGTAATGCGGGTACTAGTGGTAAAAGTAATGAAGTACAACAAGAAACAAGTAAGTAATACAACAATACATTGCTTACGTCATCTAAGTATCAATGTGAATGTAAAATTGAAAATAATTACGTGTATTTATTTGTATTTAGAGATAATCGTAATTGATTCGTCTTATAATATGTGGCATCGAGCAACAAAATTAAAAAAATAAATGTTTTGCATATATTGCTTATTCAACGCGTTCTAAATCAACTACTACATCTGAAAATTCCTGTTCGCCAACACTGTACCCGCATGTGTATTGGTACAACACATATACAGATACACTAACACACTAACACACTAACTTGGCAGTTCCAGAAAGTGACAGGGTAAATTCAAACACACTAGTTGCTTTGTTAAAAATAAACGTTTGTCAATTGTTGAACTCAGATAAACGCAGGAACAGAAATTATTACCTTTATGCACAGTTACATATGATTTTCACATTAAATATGGCCAGCCATCCATTTGCTTAAGTCTGTTGATAAATACAGATTGACAGATTGATTCATTATTAAATCACTAGCACCAGCGGCACCGACTAATTTGCAAGTTACTGGTTTTAGCACGACAACCATATCTCTCAAATGGGATGCGTCTGTTGGAGCAGCCAGTTATATACTAAACTACTACGAATCTGGAGTTGATACATCCGTTCCTATACCAGGAACAGGGACTACATACACAATGACGGGTTTAAACCCTGGTACACTATATGAATTGATATCTGTACAAGTAGTGAACAGTGCTGGTACAAGCGATATAAGTAATGAAGTACAGCAAACTACAAGTAAGTATACTTATTGGTATGTGAGATCATAGGAACACCCTAGCTACAACTAACATCACAGCAAGACGGCATGGCCCAGGTAGATGTAACCATAACCGTTTTATGGATGCAACAATGTCGACACGTACTTTCGCTGGTTCCCGGCGTCCTTTGCGAATGGTAGGTAGGACGCAGGTAACTAGTAATCGCCATATTGTTCCATTTGGGCCGGTTTTCCGGCCGGAAGGCACGTGACTGAGTGACGTAATTTGAAAACATTCCCAGTTCCGTTCTGCGTAAACATGTCTATAATACTACAATAAAGCCATGCTCAAACATACTGCCTGCTTAGATTTACACATTTGAGATGTTTCTGATATTCCTCGCTGTTTCTGTGAAAATTTATAACAAAAGAAACAGTTTTTATTCACCCAACTTTCGAAAGTAAAAGGAAACCCCTGAACGGCCACGAGCGTAAGCGCTGACGTCAGGTAACTAAGGGAAATGGAAGAAGCAACGAGAAAGTGACGGACCAATCAGAATGCCGGATTCATTACTAGTTACCGGCCTCTTGTGGCTTGGTACGCCATGACACTTGAGGCGGGAACCAGCCAAACACGTACTGTGTGTAATCACTCAGTAATTCTATGTTGCGTAGGCAGCTGTAGCCTGGGACGGGCGTGACAACAGCTTTTCTTATACACTCTCAATATGCGTTTGTGCTATTTATTTGTCAGGGGAGATTTACTAAATTTTCGATGCTCGGTATCCAATTACACATTGATTGTGTTAGATTTATTTTAATCGATATGGACTGAACGTGAACATATTATAATTACAATGTTATTTCCACTGAATGTTGCCACTGTGATTTGATTTTTTTTAAAGAGGACCAGGTTCAAAAGGACCCACATATGGAAACATTTGACGGAGTGCGGTATAACTTCCAAGGACTCTGCACGTATGTACTCTCTCAAGACTGCAAGAACATCAACCATCCAACATTTCAAGTCACTGCCGATTTCCGTTCTAAATACTCCGAGTTGCTTTCTAAGCAAGTAACTCGTGTGGATTCTGTTAATATTATTGTGGGTGGACGTCAGCTAGTGAGAATTCTCAACAACAATTCGTTCTTAGTAGGTTATATTACAATTATTTGTTTCAACTAATTAGACGCAATTACAAGATGAGCTAACTCAGCTATCTATTCACAAAGATTGTCACAATAATACACCTGGTCCTGGTCTGTAATAATGACGTTTATTCCTTTCAACGTTTCGCCCTAGAATTAGGGCTTCTTCAGGAAAACTGTTATAAAACAAACAGATACAGTGTGTAAATGATTATGCGTTGTACACATGGGCGAATACCCCAATAGATAGGCTTATATTGTTAAAGGTAGTTTAGATTTAAACAAAATGGTTGCAACAAATATATATATATAATATAACATAATGACATAACGGACATAATTCTTTAATTGTGTGATTAGAAATTAGTTTGTGTTTAGTAGACTAGTGAACTATAATAGAGTTGTATACATGTGGCAATGATGCAACTACCAAATACAAATTATGTATGGCAATCATTTTCAATCGATGAATAATTAAAAAAACTATTTTATCATTCAGATAAATGGGGAGCTATTATTCAGCTCATTTGCAGTAATTGGCAAAAACGAAGGAACTGTGACTGTCTCAGATGACCACGTACACGTCGAACTCCACAGACCCAATATGTCGATAAGCTGGACTAAAACCACACGAGGTGTATCTATCATCTTCAATGACGAAGCTATGCATGGCAATGTATGTGGGTTGTTGGGAAATTTCAATGGTAACATGGAAGATGACCTCATGAAACCCAATGGTGAAATAATGTCTCACTCAGACATCGAAGAATTTGGAAACAGCTGGGAGCTACCAGGAAGGTGAGTACTATTCTTGTAATTAGTTCTCAGGAAAATGTTATAATGATAGTTTAAATTTTTGTATAAGTTTTATAAAGAAGCATTATAACATCATGTTCATAGTAGTTTTAACGCTGAAAATAAGAAAATAGTCTCTTAAAGTGTGCAAAAATACATACATAAGATTTAAAGTACAAATAGAATTTATACAATGTGAATATAGTAGTCATCGTAAAACCATGTGTTTCGGCGGCACCAAACATATATTGCCTGACAGGTACATAGAAAATGTGGATGGCTTACTTTTCAAAATGAGAAATGTTTTTTCTCACATCACGTATACATGCTTTATTGACTGAGATGTTATTACTGCCATTGTTAAAATAAGTGTTCCTACCAATTGCAACATTGTAATACGATTAAGTGGTGACAGATACCAATTAAGTAGGCCTAAACAAATATATTTATATTTTATCTCGCTGTTGAGAATTTTGTATTACTGATATATTAAATACAAATCATGATAGCAATGCAATCATAATATGTTTTATATCATTATTAATATTAATTTCATTATTCCAGTTGCGAATAACAGCTCTCACTTCACTGCAACGTCACTGCCAGCAATGTAAGCATTCTGTAAACAATGTATTCATATTATGAAGTGATCATTGTAGAAGCAGCTATTTATTTACTTGAAATCATAGTGATCTACATAAAATACTTACTATTTACATTACTTATTACAGTACTTAATTCTTGTATAATACGATGCTTAATTTTATCAGTAATACATACATATATCGTACATATATTGCAAATGTAATTTCAATATAATTCTTAGTAACAGGCGATACATATTTACGTTGGGATGAATAAAATGATATAAAGGGTAAACTATAATGTTTTGTTTTCATTTATATACATAAAAAAGGTGAGATTATATATTGTATGGTTGTTACGTGAAATGCTTTATTTGTCAGATAACAATATAGGACCTTATTTTGCGCCTTACCTCATATATCAATTTAAAGACACGATATGGAATAATGTGGCATTTCAAATGTGGCAGAACCAAATTGGATTATGGGTAATCGTACACTAAGAATTTTGCTTTTGAAGTGCACTGTGTAGTAGACACATGCGTAGTTATTGTACATATAAAAGCAAGTGAGAGTTGCATTGTCTCCGAACTATTACTTGGATATGAGCTTTAAGATCAACGTTTTCAATTTATGACAAACCAAAATATACAAATGTATTTATAAATATGTATTTATC